GCGCGGCCGCAGCCTGCTCCGGCGGGCCAGACCGGGCGGCGCGGCCGCAGCCTGCTCCGGCGGGCCAGACCGGGCGGCGCGGCTGCAGCCTGCCTGCTTTGGAGGCTAGGGGGAGAGCAGCGTGGCCAGAAGTGGAGAGACTCTGGCCCCGCCTCTTCCCTTCTGGCTCTGCTGGCTGTGCTGCCTCTCCTTGCTCCCTCTGATGGGGGGAGGGGCTGTGTCCCACCTCTCCTTCTCTCTACCTGTTCATAAGCCGACCCCCTTCTCTGGTGCTTCCCTTTTTTACTAAAAAAATTCGGCTTATGAACAAGTATATACGGTACTTTATTAAGTGAAGCCATCATGTGGGCTGGGCTACTTGGTAGTGCTTTGCCATGTCAAATGTCTGAGCTCAGCTCTGTTTGCTTCTGGAGGAAGCTGGAGCTGTGGGAGTACTCCCTAGGATGGAGGGAGGGAAAGGGGAAGTGCCTTGATTGTGGTCAATAAGGATTAGTGGTATCTGGCTTCTAGTCCCTTTCAGTCAGTCTCTTCTTGTGGGGTTGGCAGTTATAACACTCGGCCTAAAGATTAGACATTAGGGGAAATGTAGGGAACCTCAGGTTTATGATAAATGTAAATAATCCTTGTTGAGAAAAACATCTGTATTATGGTCTCTTTATAAGGGTTATATATGTTATGATAAATGTTAATTAAATATTATTTTTTTAAACCTGCATGTCATTTTAACCTGCCTTTTTAACACTAATTTATAGGTGTTTGCCTCACTAATGAAGGACAACAAAGAAGGTGACAAGAACCATAGCCCAGCACTGAAAAGCTAATCTCCATAATGTAAAGGTCTATTGACATTGTAGAAAACCACTTGATTAAAAAGGAATTATTACATCATTTTACATGAAAACCACTATAGAGAAAAGCGTAAGAAACACGAAAAGAGACAGTATTTGACTGAATACAGTGGCAGAAATTGATGAAATCTTCACCCTGTTGCCAGTATTAAGTAGCTTTTTGTGGGAAGAATTGTTTTCACAGAGAGCAAAATACTAAAACTTGTGAAACTGAGAAGTGGGTAATACATATTTAATATTTAAAAAGAATCTGCTTAATGCAATAAACATTTGTAATAACTTTTGTTGGTACTTACAAAAATTTAGGCATACATTTTTTTTACAAATACCACAAAGGCACTTTTTTGGGGGAGTGATAAAAATGTTAAATATTAAATAAGGCCCAAGAACTGCTATCTGAACCAAACACTCTGGTACAAATATTACCTCCACAATTAACCAGTAAGAAATATTGTGGACCAAATGAGTTTGTTTAGGTATGTTTGTACCAGATAATATAAAGCATTGGGGGTATGTCTTATTTAGTTCACTTAAATTGTAGCTTCATTCTTCAGCTTAGGCAAATTTAACTCAGGAACCATGGAAATATTGTGCCCAGTCCTGCTACAAATGAAATCAGTAGCAAAAGTCCAGTTGACTTAAATGCTGGTAATATCAGGCCCATTATTTGTAGTGTATTATAAAGGTGTTTGTACACTGCAAATTAAAGTATAATGGTAGCATGGGTAGGTATACCGCTGCTACAATTCTTAATCTAGTTAGCATGGGTAACAGATGGTTTCAATCATTTGTTTTTTGAAGTGTTGGGTGTGCGGCTTACTTCATGGAATATCCACTTAATTTTCCTTTAACAGTTATTTGCCACCAACAGTTTTTTATCTTGCTTAACCATTACTAATAAAAGAAATGGTTCATTCTTATGCTTGATGGTAAACACTAAAAACAATCTTCTGACGACTGTCTCTGTATGTTTTCAGGAGCATTGATACTAAAAATTTCAGTCCACACACAAATGCTGAAAAAAAATGCAGACGGAATAGTTTTTGAAACTTTCTTTTATGGTGTGCAATACTAAAAAATCCAAAAAGCATATTGTTTGGCAATACTTTTCTTTTTCTTTTAATTGTATGAGAAGTAAGATCATATGGTACATGTCACACAAGCAGATATTTCCTAGTTTCTAAAATATGTAAAACACAATGTTCGATCTTAGGGATTAGAAATTGAAAACGGATAATACTGCAAGTAGCTAACACTTGCTCTTTTTGAGTCCATTTTTGATAGTATTTAATGTAAATAAATTGCTTACCTGTGATTTTTGTAATTGGTCCCTCTATGTAGAAATGAAGTCAGATTTATCATTACATATTTTTACATTTGGGAGGTTTTTTCAGTTGTCCAGTGTTAAAAGCAGAGTCTGCATAACTTGTTCTGGTTAAAAATTTGAATTTGTGTGGTGAAACTTTTTATGTCGCTATCTGGTTTAAAACTACATTTAAATATACTACTCATAACATACAATTTAAAGTTAAAATGTCTGAGATTTTTTCTTATGTGTATTCACTACTTTAATTGGATCCAATTTATTTGTATTTTGTTTTGGAGTTCTGTTGTACAGTTTTCTTACTTTTCAAGTACAAACATGTATATAAAATTGTAAATAGAAGGGATCTAGCCTTCATTTAAGACCACTAGTAACAATCCTGTGTAAATAAATCTCATAAGCAGAACAAGTACTTGAGTCTCTTTTCCCTTTTGGGGCATCTTCTTTAATACAGGAGAAAACTCTTGCCTAAAAAACTTCTTGCAAAACTTTTCAATCTGATAGAGTTGTACCTAAAGGATTTTCTTGTAGTAAGGAAAATTGAAATAATGTATTTATTGATGAGCTTGATGTACTGCGTTGCTGATAGATTCACAACATTGCTGATCTATCCCATTTAACGTATGTACAGTGCCCAGCATAGTGGGGCCTTTTGGGTACTACTGTAATACAAATGAGTTGATATTGATCTGAGTGTGCTGGTTTGCTGGTGAGCTAGGCTGGGGATGTGGGGAATGTCCCCGTGAAAGTGTTCCATTTGTGGTCCTGTCCTTGGGTCATTGTTGGAGCCAGAGTCAAGGTGGGAATTTTGCCATCTTGATAATAGATAAGCATGTTAGCTGTGTTGCCAGGGACTGTCAAGGGGATGGAAAAACTGACTTGTATTCAGTGAGTCACTCCTTATTTCATTGTTGATCCAAAGGCACATGTTGAATTTGTTCTGACAAGGGGTTGCTTTTCTGATAGTGTGAGGAGGAGGTGGAAATCAGTCTATCATCACCAAACCTTGTTCTACGTCAGGGAAATAGTGAAAATTTGGACAGAAGAGGTATGATGGTGACCTTTCCTCTGTCAATAAATCAGAAGAGGACAGTATTACAATTCAGGCAATAAAGTGGTTAACATTAATTGGATAGTAATTTGGATATAGGAGACACCTGAATTGTGAGCAGTAATATCATATGTGCTTCAGGTAGGGTGACCAGATGTCCTGATATTAGAGTCTGTCTTATATACACAACTATATGGTCCCCTCACTCCCTTGTAAAAAGGTGTCCTGATTTTTCACATTTGCTATCTGGTCACCCTAGTTTTAGGTTTTCTTCTGCTGAAGTTAGATGCTAATAAAGGATCAGTCTAATCATCAAGGGTATAATGAAAGGATTGGTCCAGAACCAGCACACGTTGGAAATGGTTACTATTGCTTTCATAGAATCTTAGGACTGAAAGGGACCTTGAGAGGTCATCTAGTCCAGTTCCTTGCACTCATGGCAGGACTAAGTATTCTCTATTCTAGACCATTCCTGACAGGTGTTTGTCTAACCCGCTCTTAAAAAATCTCCAATATTTGAGATTCCACAACCTCCCTAGGCAATTTATTCCAGTGCTTTACCATGGAGAGGAAGTTTTTCCTAATGTCCAACCTAAACCTCCTTTGCTGCAATTTAAGCCCATTGCTTCTTGTTCTATCCTTAGAGGTGCTTTCATGAAGCACCTACTAATAACTATGCTCAGTGAAAATCCAAAACAAAAAAATGGTTCTGCGTTACAACTCACACCAATGCTTGTGCATAATTTAAATAAAAAAAAAGGGGGGGGGAAGTAGGATGGTCCAGTGGTTAGGGTAGTTGCCTAGGACTTGGGGACCTGTAGTGAGGACAAATACATTAAAGACTGTTAGGTGCTCCGATATGGTGCTGATGGGAGCCATATAAGTATTTACTATAGAATGAGGATATGAGAGTGCTTCATATAACACATTTTTTTGGTGTTTCAGAAGACAGGAGGGTGGGGAGTAGTCTGTGCTCAGCCTCCAATTGTAAGTTGCTGATAGACAAAATGCTCTACTGTTTTCCTTGCTTCACTGATGTCAAAACCTCATGTCCCTAAACATGCATTCAGAGGATAAGCTCTTGAAATTCTGTCCAGACTTTTTGTGATCAACATGTAAAGTATTAGTAACAATTTGTTAGCTTAATTTTCAAAAAGGATATGAGCTGGAAACTCTCTCTGCTTCTGCCAGACCTTGGTCCTTAATTTGCCAAATATCAGTGAGTATACCTGTGACAGTTATGCAAATAATCCCATGATGTGGTGCGGCGGAGTGTGGATAGAATAATAAATGATTTCAGTATTTGCTGCTTTACCTTAGGACTTTAACTAGGGTATTAGTTGTCAGTTCACTTCTGTCTTAGGGACAGCAAAGGCATTCATCCAACTGTTTGGAAGAGCCAAGTCCTGTTGGCTTTCTCTCAGCTCTTCTTAATTAGAGGAACAATGTACATGGTACCAAGTGCCAACCTATGTTAGCTAAGCCATCAGTAATGGGGAATGATATTGTACCAGTCTGGGGAAGCTAAAGGGTTCGGCCTTCCTCACAGGAAGCCTAGTTGCTGTGGTAATAAGCATATGGATTGTGGAGGGGTAGAAGAGTCAGACTTAATGGAGGCTAAAGAATGGTACTCCATAAAACTAGTGTTGCTGGTGCAAAACAAACTAGGACAACACAATTTCACAGGAATGTAACAAACCTTTTCAGGGACATCCAAACAACCCATGTAGGAAAACAAACGAAATAGTCTTTAGCTAACTGTTTCATTGATGCTTTATGTTGGGGACAGATCATTCAAACTTTCAAAACTGGCTGAAGTTAGAAAGTTGCCCAACTGGGCCACTATGACTTGTTTCAAATTCATGTGAAACAGCTTTCAAAAGAAGTTGGTTTCATGCTGTGTGAAGTGAACAGGAGTGTAAGTAGGTGATCTAGCTACTATACAGAAGTGGGTGCTTTCAAATCTTGCCAGAAAGTTACTGGTTAGGGATGTTGATTTCTGTTTCACCTTGTCATTTTGGTTTAGGGCATGACTTAGTAGGGTGAGGGCATAGGTGCTGGGGTGTTGGTGTGATACGGTTTCCATTATACACAGGGTTTACAGTTTGGTTCAATGGCTTCAGCACCCCCACTATAAAAATTGTTTTAGCATCCCTGGGTGAGAGTGGCAGGTTCTCTAGCACCAGTAAATATTTTTCTGGTTGGTCAAAAACCGGACACCTGGAAACCAGCAATGACTTGTCTTTATATGGAGTTGTTCCTGATTAACTCTCTTGTGTCCATGTAGTCTCCACACATGCAGCTAACCAGGAATAACTCCGTGGAGCGACAAGCCTGTGAGTGGTTGTCACACATTCAGCAAAACAGCACCTCACGCAGTGTCTGGACTAGTATTTCAAGGGCTACTCCTGCAGCTGTTGCCTCACGTGTCGGAGTGCAGACGGGGCCCCGGGCCCTTTAACGCAGGCTGCTGCAGCCCCAGCGGGGGTGGGATGGAGCAGGGCGACTCTAGGGCTGGGGCGGGGCCCTGCTCCCGCGGCAGGGGTGGGGCCGAGCTGGGGGTGGGGCGGGGGCACACACGGCCCAGGGGTGGGTGGCGCGCGGCCAGACACATCCCGAGCGGTCACTGTCCGGGGGCCGTGCTCGCTTTCAGCCGCCAGAGGCCGCTGTGAGGCAGCTCAGCCCCGCCCCGCGCTTCCGGGCCTGCGCAGCGGTCTGCGGCCACGTGTGTCCGGGACCCCTAGAGCCGCCGCAATGAAGCAGGTGAGGGGCCCTGGGTCGGGCTGTGTCTGCGGGGCAGTAGGGGGCTGGGGCAGTGAGAGGTGCTATGGGGGGCACGGCGCTGTGAGGGGAAGGGCCGGGCCGGGAAACGGGGCCGTGGGGGGCGGCTGGCGGTGGCAGAGTCCTGTGAGGGAGTGTGGGGCTGGGGTAAGGGCTCGGCGTCGTGGGGGAAGCGGGGCCCTGTGGGGGAGAGCCGGGGCGGGGGAGGGGGGCTGTGGGGGGCTCGGAGCCGGGGGGCACAAGGCGCTGTGAAGGGGAGGGCCGGGCCGGGCCGCCGAGGCCCGCGCAGCCTCTCCAAGGCGGGCCCGGGAGTGGAGCGCAGAGAGACTGATGCTAGCCAAAGCTCCCTGTCTCTGCGCCGCCTTGTCCCCATCAGCAGCCCCGGGGCGCGCACACAGCACCGCAGGCCCGGTGCTGAGAGGAAGGGTGAGGCGATAGACGAGGACTGTGAATTATGTGGAAAGCCCTCATGTGAAGAGGCAGCGCTGTCCAGTTACTCCTCTGCCTTCTTATACCTCTTTGGGAGCAAGGCCGGCACCTTTTGAAATGTTCACTTCATCACTGCTACAGATATCTCAGAAGCAGATCCGTGATATCTTATGGAAATTGGCTTCAAAGATTGCTGATAATAAAATTAACAGGGACATTGTTTGTACTCCCATGGCACTTGGGAGCCCTAGTCATGAACTAGGTCTCCATCGTTAGTGCTACATGCTGTACAGCAGGGATCGGCAACTTTTGGCACGTGGCTCGCCAGGGTAAGTCCCCTGGCGGGCCGGGCCGGTTTGTTTACCTGCTGTGTCCGCAGGTTCGGCCGATCGCGGCTCCCACTGGCTGTGGTTCGCTGTCCCAGGCCAATGGAGGCTGCGGGAAGCAGCGTAGGCCGAGGGACGTGCTGGCCGCCTCTTACCCCCGCCCCCATTGGCCTGGCACGGCAAACCGCGGCCAGTAGGAGCCACGATCGGCCGAACTTGCGGACGTGGCAGGTAAACAAACCGGCCCGGCCCGCCAGGAGGCTTACCCTGGCGAGCTGCGTGCCGGAGGTTGCCGACTCCTGCTGTACAGCTTATCCTAGGAACAGATCAAAGAAATCTCTTTATGGTCACATTTCTGTATCCATGTTGGGAACCAGAATAATGGGGGCAGAGGTAGTCTGAATGTCAAGTGTTGCTGGAGCTGTCCCATCACCACTTTCCTAATAATGCTTCCTAAACAAGGGGAGGCTCAATATGTGCTATAGAACTGTATTTAAATTGCATTGCTTTCTGTGCTGGATATTTATAGAACTAGGATTGTTCAGAAATGTTTCTGTAAAATCTTTGGCCCATTTGTTTCCAGGTTATTCTGCTTAATACAATTAATTTCACTAATTAGGAATTGGGTATACTTTAAACCTAAACACAGAAATCTGTTCACAAGAAATTTGTTATCCAGCACGGGTGTTAGTGAGTGTTAGCATGTCTGGTTTAAATCTTTCACTTAAATTTAGTGCTTTTTTTTACAAAAATAAACATGAATCTTCAGTTAACTGAAGTTTTCTGTTGGTTTCCAGAGAAAAAATAAAAAACGAGTTC